TATATAAAATATAATGTATTTTTTTTATATATAGATATAAAAACACATCTTTGTGGGCGGGAAAAATTTAAATTTTGGAAAATTTTACATTTTACTTTGAAAGAAAATTTTGATTTCTTTTTTCCAAAACTTTGAAATTTATGTACTATTTCCCTTGAATAAAATTTTTGATAATTTTAACCCGGGAATTTTAAAAATATTTTGTTCTAAAATTTAAATTGCCATCGGGTATTCTTAAAAGCGGGAAATTTTTACGGTTTTAAAACATATAAACTTTTTCAGTGTTTGGAAATTTTCACTTTTTGCTTAAATAATACCCAATTTTTTGATAGAGTTATTTAGTTAAATTTTTCCCGGGGCCCATTTCATGTTTTTTGCAGAAATACACTTTTCCCAAATATGACCCAAACGAAATAAAAACCTTGCTTTTAAAAAGTTAAATGGGGTAAAACCCCCAGTTGGGTTAAATATTTAAAATAATAATTGGTAAACTCCATCCTTTTAAAAATATAAAAACCTGCACTATAAAGAGTACTTAAAGCAGCCCCTACAAAGAAAAAGTTTTTACTTTTCAGTGAAAAGTATAGAAAAAGGGGCCGGTCATGTGCCCATTTTTGTAGAAAATCACATTTTGAAAGGACTGGAAGCTTTTGCTTCAAAAACACAAGCAAAATGGTTTATAAGAATGTGGAGACAGAGGCACCAAATGGGGGAAAAAACATATGAATATTAAATTATTTTGGAATTCTAACCAGTTAATAAAAGGGGGGGGTTGTCCCAACCTCACTCACTTTTTATCTTCTTTCCGCCCCGGGAAATACTTTTATTTTGGTTAAAAAATGAAAAAAGATATCATAAAAAAAAAAATGTAACTTTTTTTTTTACAAATAAAAAAAAAAAATAAAACAATCAGATGAATAAAAAAAAACATGATATTTTCTGTCCACAATTATTTTTTTAAAATTTTGTCAAAATTGAAATTTTAAATTTAATTTGATAAAATTTGGGGAAAGCTTTTTTCCGAGAAAAAAAACCGAAAAATTTTTATTTTTAAAGTTTTAAAATTTAAAAAGGAAATGGTTTGGGTTAAAATTTACATCGTTGCCAGGAAACCACGGTGCCTTATCATCGTCAGAAAATAAAAAAAGGATTCTTAATTTTCCATTTTTGCACTCCCCCTCCAGATATTACCCCTTTTGCCAAAACGTGCCCAGGGTTTCCTGTCGTCCGTCCGTATACTTTTTGGTCCTGGCTTAAAAATTTTCAGTGCCCCTAAAAACAGGGTTTAAAAATTTCTGGGGGTTACGTTTTTTGGGAACGAAACAATACGCCTGCCCACAAAGTTTCCCCCATGAAAGAAAAAAGCAGACAAAACTACCTCGGTAAAGGGTTTTTTTTCTCTGGTGATTTTTAAAAAAATGTGGTTGTTTTAGAAACTACTGGTAAATTTTCGATCAATAAGGGGGTAGCCCCGAGAAATCACCATTGTAATTCAAGCCGACAGACTGTTAAAAATAATTGCATTGCCACCCGGGTTCATCTTTATACATCTTTGTTTTTGGAAAAATTTTAAATTTAAAAAGAAAATTTAAAGGGCCCCGGGTTTGTTTGGGTGCTTTTAGTAATGGTTTCTTCTGTTTTTGAAAAATTCAAAAATGGATTTTCCAAAAAAATTTTGTAAAGAACCTTTAAAAGGGGGTGAAAGCCCACATTTCCAAAAATTTGGGGTGATCGTTAATAATAAACGGTTCTGAGCTTTGGAAATAAATCAGAACATCCGTTAAAATTTTTCTCATTTTAGTTTGGCGAGGCAAAAAGTTTTCATTTTTTTAGAAAAAAGAAAGTAATGATATTTTGGGTTTTTTCCTTGGGGTTTTGGAAATCTTGTCAATACCAATTATCCTCCCCCTGAAAAAAATTGTTGGATTGGGTTTTCAGTCTGGCCCCAATATTTGGTTTCTTTTTGGGAAAAAGGACCAACTACAAAATTCCCTGGGGGTAAATTTGATGAAATTTTCCCTTTTACTTTTATGTCCCGGGCTTTTTTTCCCAAATTTTTGGTTTTGGGTGATCTCCTCTTCTTCAGTCCCATACTAAGTCTAATTTTTGTGTTCTAAAGGGTCGGAAAGGGGGCGCCACAAAAAATTGGTCCCGTTTAAAAACCAAATAGCTGCCTGTGCACCGTTTCTTTCCATTGCTGATGCTGGGAGCTAGGCCCAATTTAGCCGCAAAAGAAACTCCCAAAACCCGCAGCTCAAAGGGAAGGAGAAAAGGTCCCATCCTGGCCATAGAGACACACCGTTGACGTGCCATGTCACATCGTAAGTATGGACTTCCGCAAAATGGCTGCCACATTGAACAGGTTGGCGAACGCTCGTATCTGTACCAGAACTGTGTCCAGTAGCTGCGGTATCCGTCAACATTTCTATATTGTGGAAAACCATCCATCGGACGCTCTGCTGCATGAAGTCCCATTGTAGGAGGATAGTCAGTCGACGGGTTCACTCCACAAAATCTCGCTTGCCGAATACGAAATAGTTCCCAAATATAATCTACGAAAGCATGGTGTAGAAAAAATACGGGGTCATGAGCTGCTGTATTTAAACCAGACATCTGCCCACCAACCCAATTGTGCGGACCTCCGTGGTATCTCTCTAAGTTGAATTGGACCATCGCAGTGGGAGCTGTTATGTCTCGTATACGACACCTTGTAAGAACCATTCGAATACTCTCTTTCGTGAAGAGTGTGCTCCCTTCTCCTATTTTCTCTTTTAGCTGATTCCCCCCTGCTACCCAAATTTGAAAAATGGCCCAAAGGTCGTTAAAAAACCATTACCTTTTTAAAAAAGAAATGATTAAAGCCCCAAAATGATAGATTCAACCGGATAAACCATTTCGAAATCAAGTTTTGGACCCCAATGGGGGAAGAGATAATCTGGGATTTATCATACGAAAAATCCTCTTCACGTTGCAAAAAGCAATATGTAATTTTTTAAAATTTATGGGTAATAAAAAAAAGCAAGTAGGGTTGATTTCAAAATACACGAAAATATAGATTCCTTTTTTTCTTTTTCCTTTTAAACTTTTTTTAAAAGTGAGAGGCCCGATGTTGTTTTAAAATAGGAGTGTGTAAAAAAACCCAAAAATAGTTTAAATAAAAAAGCGGTCGTTTTTTTTTTTCTTACCGAATTTAGATTTAAAAAAACCCTTTTTAAACCCAAGTTTTTTTTGAATGGATGGATCGCCCAAAGTTTACTTTAACACAAAAAAATCTACCCCCCAAAGTAAATTTTAACATTTTATAAGTGCATTTTGTTATATAAGAAAAAAAAACTACACCCCCAGGCTAGGTAGCCCCTGGGGCCAAACCCAAAAAAAATTTTTTGGCCCAAACCGTGAGCAAATTGATAACAACCCCCCTTTGATGAAGTTTGGGAAAAACGTTTTAAAACTGCCCCGTCAAATGGAAGTAAGCCCCATGGGTTAAACTTATTCTTTATTTATGTGGGAATATCATTAGCTCTAATTAACAACTTTAATTGTTTTTAATTTTAAAAATTGAATAAAATGAATAATTTAAATACTTTCAAAATTGCAAATTTTTTCAAAGGGGGAAACATCACTTAAACACATTGTTAAATAAAAATTTTAAAAACGTAAAAAAAAATTTAAAAGTCCCATATTGTCAACTTTAATACTAAAAAAATTTTGTAAAAAAAACGAACACAAAAGATTTTTAAATTATTTTTTAAATTAAAAAATTATATAATATTTTGGGAATAAAAATAATTTCACCACATTGTCATTTAGGAAAAAAAATTTTACTAAAATCGGGAAATGGTTTTTTTTTTAAATTTCTGTTTTTGCAGTCCCAATTTCTCATTGTTTCAATAGGCAGTACTTTAAAATTTTGGAATTTCAAAAAAGGGGTGTGAAATTTTAAACATTTAAATGTGTCGTTCCTATAGAAAAAAGTTTTTTTTTTTTTAAATATTAGTTTTGGGGAATTTAAAAATCGGTTATAAACCCAAATTTTTGGTTTTTAGTGTGGTCATTCTGGGGTACTGGAAAAAAATTTTAAGAAAAAATTTTTTTAAAAAATAGTTGGTTTTTCCGATTTCATTTTGGTTGATAAACTATGAAGTTTCAAACCTTCTTTTATCAGAGAAATTTTTCTGTATTTTACGTCTTATTTTAAATCCAGTCCTTGGAAAATATGCCCACGGGGGCCTAATTTTTGGGGCTTCCCGTCTCCCTCTTCGGAAAACCAAACCCCAAAAAAAAGTACCCGAAAGGCGGTTAAACGAAAAAGACCCCTTTTAACCCCAAATTTTTTTTTAAATTTTAATTGCAAAAAAAAAAATTTTTATTTTTAATTTCAACAAAAAGTTTAAACCATTATTTTGTTCGTTAAAAAAGACCAATGACTTCGCATTCAAAAAATTCAAGTGAATTATGTTTCCCTCCAAAACGAAAAAAGGGTGGAAATCAAAATAAAACCCTTATTTAATTTTTAATAAAATTTTTTTTCCCTTTTTAAAGGTCTTGGGATCGCAAAAATTAAAAGTGACCCCCGCTTTTTTTTTATTTAAAAATCCTTCCTAATTGTTCACTGGATAAAAAAAGTGAGAAAATTTTTAACATTAAAGGGCTTTTAAAAAAAAAAACTTGGAGTGGGGTCTTACCGAACCAAAAAAGTGAATTTAAAAATCCTTTGTCTTTTTTTAAATTTTTATTGAAAATCGACCATTGTATTTCTTTTTTCCTTCCATAGAAACTGCTTTAAAAACACTGTTTTATAGATCTCGTCGGTTTTCTCAAAAAATTCCCGGATTTTTTCCACCCCGTAATTATTTCCTAGCAACTGGGAAAAATTTTTAAACCTTTAACCGGGGATAAACTGCCTCTAAAATTTTTGACCCTCTTTCCCCCATGAAAAATCCCAAAAAAAATACCCAAAAGCAAAAAACCCCCCACCCCACTGTACGGAAAACAGTAGATAAAATTTAAAGATTTTTATATATATTTAAAAAAGATAAGAAATATTTAAAAGTAGAAATCAGTTTTTTTATTGATTAGCTAAAAAATTTTGTGAAGAAAAAAAATTTTTGCTAGAACCTGTTCATATTTTTTTTCCATTTTTTTTCCCACACATATAAAGCAATTTTTTATATGGACCAAAAAAATTGACACATATAATTTTTTTAATACCTATTTTTTAAAATAAATTATATTCAAAGATTTATGAAATAAAAAAGTAAAAAACGGTCCGTAAAAAAAATACATTCAAATAACGTTAATATGGTAAAGCAATTTGTAAACACATTACTGACATTGCCAAGAAAACCCAATTACATCAAATTTAAGCTATTTCAGTTGTAATTCATTATCAAAATTTTATTACAATACAGTAATTTTACATATTTAAGAAATTTCAGTAAATATTTACGTCCCCCTTTTAAATATCTTTTTTAAAAAGTCTTCACAAAATTTTTGTTTTTTAGTTTTTGGAAAATTTGAAAAATTAATCAGTTATTTTATTCCCCATGTAACACCCTTTATTTAAAAGTCAACCCGAATTAGAATATCGTTTTTCTTCATATTTACTTTCAAGAACGGAAATTAAGGTTGCTGTATACCATGAATAAAATATTAAGAAATTAAAAAAATCTTTTTTCATAGAGATAGGGAAACGAATATAGAAACAGGGGCCCCATTTCAAAAAGATTCCGAAAAATGGGAAATTAATTTTAGTTTTTAATAAAGAAAAAAAACCCCGTTCAATTCAAGTCGAACGGAGGGAAAAAAATTAAAAAGGAAAGGGGCACTCTAGATCAAAGTCTAAAGAAAGAAAAATCAGACAAACCAGGTAGATTTTGGGGTCTTTTCTACAACAAACCAACAAATATACATTAATAAAATTTTATAAGAATAATGGGGCCCACAAAGTCCTACAGAAAAAAAGGGAAATTAAGCGATTTATAAAATTAGGGGTTTCTACTAAAAAAAGAAAAACGGAGTTTTTAAAAAACCCAAAAAAACACAAAATTAATATTTGCAGACTGGGATTGACTGAGTCTTTAGGGAAAAGTTTAACAAAAGGTTTTGATGTAATTTTCATGAGATTAAGCATTCTACTAATATTCCGACTTTTTTTTTGAACTTTTTAACATAAAACAACAAAAAAAAAAAAAATTTGGATCAACTAATTTTGTATGAGTTTAAAGGGCCGTTAAACACGGAACCCAAACAGAAGAAAGAAAAAAAGGAGTGCGGGGCCGATAAAATATTTTTAAAAAAATGAAGAACAACAGGTTTGAATGAATGTGGACAAAAATCTATATTTCTGGAGAAATATATTAAGAAACGGAAGATAAACTGTTAAAAAGAATATTAATCTTTGCTAAGTTTAAAAGAAGGAAAGGGGTTAAAAAAAGGGAAAAAAACCCAAATATGAAGTCGATTTATAGGGAAAGGATTTAAGGAAATACGTATTAACATCTTTCGAAATGGAAAAAAAAGAAGCAGAAAAGTTTAAATTTTATATTTACAGAAAATAAAAAATAAAAAGATAAATGTTTTTTTAGAAGGCCCATGTTAACCGAAAAAGAAAAGGGGAAAATGTATTTCCCCAATCGATATCGAATAGATAAAAAAAACGCGATAGGAAAAACTCTACGCAAATGTTACTGAAGAAGTCAATTCGAAAAAAAATATAGTGATAACCCAAAATAGTTTTAATGCTCAATACTTTAATTTTAATAAAACGCAATAAATAACCCTCGGTTTGTCTTTTCCTTTTTTTTGGGAAAAAAGAAAAAAACTTTCGCAAATTTTTCTCAATTTTAAATACTTGTCATGAAATTGGTTTGTCAAATTAAAAAATAAAATCAAGGGGAATGCATAATATTTAAAGCTGTATAAAAACCATTTATTTGTCAAACAAAGAAAAATGTTGGGATAAAAAATCTCCGTTTTTTTCATGCGATGAGGGGTATTGTAAAAATTATTATTGGGATTTTTAACCAAAATATCAAAAAAAAAAAAAAAATTTAAAGGGCCCCTTTATAAAAAACAAACAAAAGGAAAAATTAGAAGGTCTTACATGGACTTATAGGGCGGTTTTTAAAAACAAAATATTAATTTTCTTGGGAATTAATTTGTTTTTTTTTATTTTTTTTCTTTTTATTATGCCAGGGGTTTGAAAAAAGCCATTTTTTTTTACATTGAAAAGTTATTCATTTAACAAAAGGGGGTTTTAGATCCCCTTAAAACCCGTTTTATATCATTTTAAATATCATTTTTAATCTGAAGACATCGAATAAAAAGCGAATTAATGTGATAAAACAATTTTGTAAAATTTATGAATCAATTTTTAAAAATTTTGTAAAAAGGGCACGATTCATTTAAAAGCCCTTTTTGAAATAAAAAAAAACAAAAGAAAAAAGTTTAATAAATAATTATAAACGGAAAAAAAGTTTTCATGACATCTAGGGTTTTTTATGTTTCAATAAGAGAAGGTTGAAAGATACATTTTTCTGCTCGGTTTGTAAATTAAATAATTTAGTTCATTTTGTTAACCCCAAAAAAACGTTTTTGTTTAAAGACATAGGTTCTATAGCTAATTTAGGTTGAAATGAAGTTACTTCTAGTCGCAAATCCAAACGACCCTTTTACGGAAAGACGATGAGTTTTTTTTTGCTCAATTTTTGTTTTAATTAAACTGTTAGTTCACGGGCTTGGGTTAAAATAAAATTCAG